GGGCTTAACCATGTTTCCTAGATGGGGAATCGAATCCAGACTTGATTAGAAGCATGGCATGAAGCCTGTTTTGTATATAAACCTTTCAAGCTGACTTTGACTTTATGTGATACCTTTTCTCCTATCTCCGTCATATCCCCTCCTGGCAACATGTCTAAATCGTCCTTCAGTGCGCACGCCTCAATAACTTTCTCATATCGCTTCCGTTTCATTTCGTTTCCAAACAGAATGTTGTCCCGCACTGTTGCATTCTGGATCCACGCCTGTTGCGGAACGTATGCGATCCTGCCCTGAATATATAATAGTGTGACAAACAGAGAATTTATGTATTAATTCCACGATTATAAATGTGGATCTTTTGGCATAGAACTTCAATTCAACAGGTTATAGGTAAACATGATAGATGATGTGTGGGTTTATGGCACGTGGAGCGGTGGTCACGCCGAAGATCCGGGTTCGATTCTCAAAAATGGGAACAATGTGTGAAGCCCATTTGTGGTGTCCCCCGCCGTGATATTGCTGGAATATTGCTAAAAGCGGCGTAAAACTAAACTCACTCACTCACCTATGGCACAAACGTGGATATTCATGGCTTTTTGTCAAATCCATGTATAGCTTCCGGAAATGTCGAGAAGGTATTATCGCGATGAGTGATCTGATTGTATTCATTCCGAAGTTAGGCAACAATGTCGAGATGTGAGAGTTTGGAGGAACGCTGTGGTTATATTTACCCTGCGGTTCGCCTTGCCATGCACGATCTCCATGTCGCCTAAACACGCCGACAGCAAGGAGGACTTGCCCGATCCCACCTGGCCGGCCACGGCGACAAGATTCCCCTCCAGTACAGACAAGCTGATGCTGAATGGTGAAGTACATTATATTTACATAAAGGAAAAGCTCAGTGTTTTAGTGGATTTAGTATTTTTCCAGCAGCCAAAAACTTCAAATAAGGAGAGAGGAAGGTCATGCGAAGTGGGGAGGTTGGGGGTTGTATAGAAGGGTGGTGAGGGTAGTATAGCGAGGAGGGCAATACGGAGAGGTGAGAGTACGTGGTACTGAGAGCGAGATGCAGAGAATCTAGATTCTAGAATGAGGGGTGATACGATACCTTTGTCGTGGACAGCATCAAGAAGGTAATAATAATAACTATACAAAACTGACTGTATCAGTGTGGGAGAGGGAAGAGGCGGGCACTTGCATAATTGTTTCCAGCTTTCTTTGTGGCGATATCTCCACCTGTACCTACTTGGTGAGGATGTTTTTGCCGTCCTTCTCCCATCTGAATGTGCCTTTGTTGATGGTCAGTGCGTACTCTGAGAGAAAACACAAGGTTTGTTTAGTATTCTGGGTATTTCCAGCTTCAAAGTTAAAATAAGCTTTCCGAATAGTCTCTACAACTCAGGCTAGTATATATTATCTCCTCTAACTTAAGATACACGTGTGTGATTGGTTGAGATATGAGGTTTACATTTCATGTACGACGCTGGGAAATGAGGATTTACGAATACCGTAATACAAGCTAAATACAACTATTCACAACGCCTAATCAACTTTCCAACCGTAATGTAATGGCGACACTCTGCGTGTGGTATCGTCGTTCGCATGTCGAGGGGATGTCCGCGAAACGGTCGTAACACACTTATCAAACCACTTGAAGCGACAGCAGTGTTATGGAAGGGCGATAACTCTTGACGAGTATACGTGTACACATGCTGAGACGATATCAGTGAAGCGGCTCACCAGACATACTGTTAGACAAATACTTTGACGAGAGACATCACAGAGGCAGCACACTCTTTGTTCGTCAAAATATTTTCTTAAAACAGTTTTATCCACGCATGGTGACACAATATCAGCGGCACTGGTACCAATGCATTCCTTATTTTACACCATGATTCTAACATGAGATTACCACCATAGTGAATTTGATCAATTTTAAACCAAGTCAAGTCCGCCTTTCAATATGAACCGAAACGCTGTCAATGGCCTCCTACCTTTATCATGATAAACTTGGCACCTGTCATGACAATAGGGGTTACGGCGTTCGCTCGTACCCCACATGGGTACAATGTATGAAGCCTAGGGCTGTAACGATGTATCGAACTATCGATCAGTTGCAATTGTTGAGTATCCGCTAGTAATTAATGGACGGCAGAAACGAAAAACTATCGATAGTTTAGTAACTGACTTCCGTTGATAAATGTGCAGCGGAAAATACAGGAAGTACCAGATTCGTTTACTTTCATTAGAGTTTTCCGCCCCATTTATCTCTTAAACAAACTTGATTTGGGTTTCAAGTTTTTTCTCAGTTATTAAAAGAGACTCAAAACTACTTCAACTTGTTTTTTTATTTCATATAAACTATACATTCATTTGGGAAATGACTTCAAATGAGACAATTCAAGGAGAGAAAAAACTATTTCAATGGTATTACAATACTTGGTCGCAATAGACTATCGCTATCGCAATAGTATCTTGCAATACACTATTGCTATCGCAATAGTTGCTTTCCCCTCAATAGTCACCCCTAAACTGAAGCCATTTTCCGGTGTCCTCTGGTGGAATATTGCTAAAAGCCGCGCAAAACCATACTCCCTCACTCACGACAATACAGATTTACCTTCATGTAGGTTTTTTCCGACGGTAGTGGGGTCCAGTTCGCCGGACTTGAGGAACTTGTCTATCCGGCCGATGGACACCCTGGCCTGTGTGTATCATGTAAATTGTATTACAGTTATATCAGAAATGAATCATTTACAGCTCATGATCATAAAGCAGATAACAAACAAACTTTTATACACCTACGTGGCCCAGGACGTGAAGGATTTCGGCTTATTGAGGGCGTGGGCTGTAGGCCGGCCCATGATGTAACATCAAGGCAAAGGACTTCGAGTTAACGAGGGTATAGGATGCAGGTCAGTCCCATGACGTAACACTGAGGCCAAAAACTTCGAGTTAACGAGGGTGTAGGATGCAGGTCAGTCCCATGACGTAACACTGAGGCAAAAAACTTCGAGTTAAAGAGGGTATATGATGAAGGTCGGGTCTATGTCGTAACATCGAGTTAAAGGACTTCGAGTTAACGAGGGTTTGGGATGTAGGACCGGCTTATGACGTAACATCGAGTACAGGACCTTGAGTTAACGAGAGTGTAGGATGATGGTGTACCTGAGCGGTGTTGGAGATCATCTCGGGGATGAAGTTGATGGGAAACTGGAGGATGTTGAAAAGAGAGAGCGTCACGAACGCCGTCCCCGCGTCCAGGTGAACATTTGACGTCAGTACGTACGCGGAAAACGTCGCCAACGTCACCTGTCACAATAGTAATTTAGGTACTACATTACACTGCATCTAAGCACTATTTGTGGTCTGTAAAATGTTAAAAATTCAGAGATTGTTTTACACAAAACGAACAAACGTTTACCTTATTTTAAATTATCAACATTTAATTAAGATTTTACTTAAAAATCAAGCTAGTCACTGATGTCAGAAGCGGGTGTTATTTACTAAATACGGGGCACACGTCCACACGAAGGTGCTGAAGCCGTTGAGGTAGGCGATCTTCATGAGGATGTTCAGCTCTTCCTCCCTGATGGCGAGAATCCTGTCTCTGAAGGAGGCTTCCCAGGCGTACAGCTTCAGCACCTACAGATGAGGGGCACATACTGAGTGAGGTGATGCCAGCACCATGTCGGATACATGGACGCGCATCAAAGTGATGAGTGAGTGAGTGAGTGAGTATTGTTTTATAATATATATCACAGCACGGCGGAGGACACCAAATATGCACTAATCGTACCCATCTAGGGAGTAGAACACGGGTCTTCAGTGTGACGAACGCTTTAACCATTAGGCTACCCAACTGCCCCTCAAAGTGATGCATAAGGTTTATCAGTTGGTGAAACTTACGGACACATGCTTGACAATAAAGGATAAAGAAGTTATCATCCAGACAGTATCTTGCCTCTATTGTTGAGGAGAGACGATAGAATATTTTGGCAGGAGGGGTTGAGATGTCTAGAAGGGACAGGATGCTTGTTTCAGCCATGTCTTCAAAATACGCATGTTTGTCAGAGGTGGAGCCGAACAATTCTATATCAAAGCACGATATATCAGACTTCCAGCGCATGTCCAAAACATTTTTATAAGGATTACATTTTTAAAAAATGAGGGCTCCCTCATAACCTCACTGACACATCCATAGTACTGCCAGAGGTTCATATGCTGCACATTCAGACTAGTTTGATGTAAATGATATCCGGGTATCCCATTGGCTGCTTTACTGAAGTCTGTTGCATTTATTGTATAGATGTATAACCAACACACATGCATATTCAATAAACAAGGAGATGTTACCTTAATTCCGTTTAGCACTTCGTTGAGGAGTTTGATCCTACTGTCTTTCTTGATGAGGTTGAGCCGTTGTAGTTGCTGTTGTTTGTAGGCGAGGTAGGCGTTGATTGGCAGGAGCAGGATTAAAACAAAGAGGCCTGCCAGAACAGGGGCTCCCATTCTCGACCACAGCAGATAAACGGCGAGACAAGCCTTAAAGCGAGATTGTGTACAGTTGATAGTGTTATACTTCACTATGAAAGGTGACGTCACAACATTAGCATGTATATATAATTGTTATTTTCAATTGCTTTTGTATTTTATTTTATTATTCTATTACTATTTTATCACCAGCGCGGTTATGCAGGGTATAATGAATGAGAATCTTTTAACACATGAATTATGACAGCGGTCGAACCAGAGAATTGTGTTATTAAAGCCATATCACTGTCATGATTCCCACGACGTAAGTCGACCACATGGATGAAGGTTGTGAATGAGGCCGTGTTCCCCTCACCTGGAACGGGATGGACCACATCATCCAGGTGTAGCTGATCATACCCTGGATCCGCTGACAATCCACGGCCATCAGGTTTACGATCTCACCAACTGTGGACGTCTTCTGTGACTCGCTGTTCAGGAACAACGCCTGCAACCCAAGCTAACCATTAACACAGCAGTCGTTTCTTGTGGGTCTGTCTGTATCTGTCGACACGACGTGTCCATGTGAAGCACTCGTAAAAGGGACGACAGGGTAGCCCAGCAGTTAAAGTATTCACTCATCACGCCGAAGGCGCGGGTTTTTTCTTTAAAAAACGAACATTGTGCGAAACCTATTTCTGGTCACAGGCCCTCGTGTCTTTGCGAGGATTAAAGATTTAGAGAAAAAAATATAAAAAGTTTGAGATGACCCCCGACTCGAAATGTATCATGACATTGTACGGAGGAGCATTTCGAGTCGGGGGGTGGGTGGGGATCTCAAAAAGAATGTTTTTAAAATCTTTAATCCTCGCAAAGACAAGAGGGCTTGTGAACCCACGTTCTTGTCGACTACTTCAGCTATGCGCATTGTCGTTGACGTTGTACAGACGTCATTGCTGACGTTTTGTATTGTTACGTCTAAAACCTCTTGTGAAATATGGACGGGTAATAATCACACATATGATGTAACGTCTTGTACAGTATTGACAGACGATGGACCAAAGAACCCCAACAGGCGATACCACCTTCCCCAATGTGCCTAGGTACTTGTCTTCTTGCAGACAATGGACCATAGAACCCCACCAGCACGACCACCACCCATCCCCACCCCCATGTGCCTAGGTACTTGTCTTCTTGCAGACAATGGACCATAGAACCCCACCAGCACGACCTCCACCACCCATCCCCACCCCCATGTGCCTAGGTATTTGTCTAGAACCCTTGCAGACAATGGACAATACAATGGACCCCCCCACCAGCACGACCACCACCACCCATCCCCACCCCCATGTGCCCAGGTACTTGTCTTCTTGCAGACAATGGACCATAGAACCCCACCAGCACGACCACCACCACCCATCCCCACCCCCATGTGCCCAGGTACTTGTCTTCTTGCAGACAATGGACCATAGAACCCCACCAGCACGACCACCACCACCCATCCCCACCCCCATGTGCCCAGGTACTCTTGCAGACAATCTTCTTGCAGACAATGGACCATATGGAACCCCCACCAGCACGACCGCCACCACCACCACCCATCCCCACCCCCATGTGCCCAGGTACTTGTCTTCTTGCAGACAATGGACCATAGAACCCCACCAGCACGACCTCCACCACCCATCCCCACCCCCATGTGCCCAGGTACTTGTCTTCTTGCAGACAATGGACCAAAGAACCCCACCAGCACGACCACCACCACTCCATCCCCACCCACTGTGCCCAGGTACTTGTCTTCTTGCAGACAAACAATGGACCATAGAACACTGACCCCATGGCCCAGGTACTTGTCTTTGCAGACCACCAGAACCCCACCAGCCCGACCCGCACCACCCATCCCCCCATGTGCCCAGGTACTTGCCTTCTGTGTAGATGGCTGCCAGGCGATAACTTTAACCACCACCAAAACCACCACCTGACTCTCATCCCCAGGGTCAGGCACTTGGCTTCTTGTAGATAGTGGAACTGTTGGTGGTACTGTTGGTGGTAGAAGCAGGACTGGACGAAGGCGACCACAAACAACCCCAGTGATAGGATGTACCCCTTCCAGGGGTAGTCGGCGGCCCCCAGCTCGATGTGGGCGATCAGGGCGCTGGCAACAGAATGAGTGAGGGGATGGATTGGTGTCACATAATGGATGCGTGAGTATTTGACTGAATTGTGAGAGTGGATGGGTTCATATGTGTGCGTGCGTGTGAGTGTGTGTGCGCGCTTGTGTGTACAGAGAGAGAGTGGTGCTGTGTGAATGTGAGTTGATCAGTGAGCGTAGAAGAGAGAGAGAGAGAGAGAGAGGGAGGGATGACTCTTTGTCTGAATTAGTGAGAGAATAGATGGGTGTTTCTTTGAGAAAGTGGGTGTATGAGGTTCTGGATGATGAGAGAGCGAAGGACTGTGTTAGAACTATGGTGAGCAAGAATGGCTAAACGAGTGGGTGTTTTGTTCTGTTGAGTAGGTTGAATGAATTGGTGAGGGATTGAGTTACTAGGTCAGTGAGGGGGTAGGTGGGTGAGTGATTGAGTTACTAGGTCAGTGACGGGGTAGGTGGGTGAGGGATTGAGTTACTAGGTCAGTGACGGGGTAGGTGGGTGAGTGATTGAGTTACTAGGTCAGTGACGGGCAGGGTGGGTGACTAGGTCAGTGACAGGGGTAGGTGGGTGAGTGATTGAGTTACTAGGTCAGTGACGGGTAGGTGGGTGAGGGATTGAGTTACTAGGTCAGTGGGGTAGGTGGGTGAGTTGAGTTACTAGGTCAGTGACGGGGTAGGGTGGGTGAGTGATTGAGTTACTAGGTCAGTGACGGGGGGGGTAGGTGGGTGAGGGATTGAGTTACTAGGTCAGTGACGGGGTAGGTGGGTGAGTGATTGAGTTACTAGGTCAGTGACGGGGTAGGTGGGTGAGTGATTGAGTTACTAGGTCAGTGACGGGGTAGGTGGGTGAGTGATTGAGTTACTAGGTCAGTGACGGGGTAGGTGGGTGAGGGATTGAGTTACTAGGTGAGGTGGGTGTAGTTGAGTTACTAGGTCAGTGACGGGGTAGGTGGGTGAGTGATTGAGTTACTAGGTCAGTGACGGGGTAGGTGGGTGAGGGATTGAGTTACTAGGTCAGTGACGGGGTAGGTGGGTGAGTGATTGAGTTACTAGGTCAGTGACGGGGTAGGTGGGTGAGTGATTGAGTTACTAGGTCAGTGACGGGGTAGGTGGGTGAGTGATTGAGTTACTAGGTCAGTGATCGGGTAGGGGTGAGGGTAGGTGGGTGAGTGATTGAGTTACTAGGTCAGTGACGGGGTAGGTGGGTGAGTGATTGAGTTACTAGGTCAGTGACGGGGTAGGTGGGTGAGTGATTGAGTTACTAGGTCAGTGACGGGTAGGTGGGTGAGTGATTGAGTTACTAGGTCAGTGACGGGTAGGTGGGTGAGTGATTGAGCTACTAGGTGAGTGATTGAGTTACTTGGTCAGTGATTGAGTTACTAGGTGAGTGATTAAGTTACTAGGTCAGTGATTGAGTTACTGGGTGAGTGATTGAGTTACTTGGTCAGTGATTGATTTTGTTGTTTTTTTCCACATTTTTTATTCACATCAGTAGGTACATTCACTTTTTACAAAAGTCATATATGTTGACAGGTGACATATCTTGTTACAATCGTTTTATACGAATATCATCCAAACAAAGTTGTATAATTGCGGATCGTCTAAGCTTGAGCAATAAGGTAAGTCGGTGTTATGAGTAATATTGCTTGTTTGCTCCTGGGTTCATTTGGTTCGTTTTCATAATAGCACCGTATACTTCTGGGTAACCAAGGGGTAGAAACATTCATACATTATTATACCGATGTCATGCCTAATACAAGCTTATTCATGTTGACAGTTCACAACACATCAGTCTTCAAACATGAGTAGATACATTCAAGTATAACTGCACAAAGATCATAAATTTTATACATTGAAGAGTCATAACACATCAGACCATGTGACTGAGTTACTGGGTGAGTAATTGAGTAACTAGGTGAGTGATTAAGTTACTGGGTGAGTGATTAACTTACTGGGTCAGTGATCGAGTTACTAGGTCAGTGATTAAGTTACTGGGTGAGTGATTAAGTTACTGGGTGAGTGATTGAGTTACTGGATGAGTGATTAAGTTACTGGGTGAGTGATTGAGTTACTAGGTGAGTGATTAAGTTACTGGGTGAGTGATTAAGTTACTGGGTGAGTGATTGAGTTGCTAGGTCAGTGATAAAGTTACTGGGTGAGTGATTAAGTTACTGGGTGAGTGATTGAGTTACTAGGTGAGTGATAAAGTTACTGGGTGAGTGATTAAGTTACTGGGTGAATGATTGAGTTACTGGGTGAGTGATTAAGTTACTGGGTGAATGATTGAGTTACTGGGTGAGTGATTAAGTTACTGGGTGAGTAATTGTGTTATTTGGTGAGTGATTGAGTTACTGGGTGAGTAATTGAGTTACTGGGTGAGTAATTGAGTTACTGGGTGAGTGATTGAGTTACTGGGTGAGTGATTAATTTACTGGGTGAGTGATTGAGTTACTGGGTGAGTGATTGAGTTACTAGGTGAGTGATAAAGTTACTGGGTGAGTGATTAAGTTACTGGGTGAATGATTGAGTTACTGGGTGAGTGATTAAGTTACTGGGTGAATGATTGAGTTACTGGGTGAGTAATTGTGTTATTTGGTGAGTGATTGAGTTACTGGGTGAGTAATTGAGTTACTGGGTGAGTAATTGAGTTACTGGGTGAGTGATTGAGTTACTGGGTGAGTGATTAAGTTACTGGGTGAGTGATTGAGTTACTGGGTGAGTGATTGAGTTACTAGGTGAGTGATTGAGTTACTAGGTGAGTGATTGGGTAGGTGGGTGAGTGATTGAGTTACTAGGTCAGTGATTGGGTAAGTGGGTCAGTGATTGACAACGTTGAGTGAGTGATTGATTCGGTGGGTGATTGCAAGGGTGATTTGACAGTCGGAAGTTAGCTGGATGATGATATAAGACTGAGATTTTACCTGATACAGGATATACATAAATCATGACGATCTTTATACAATTCAAACCAGTCATTAACCACGGTAACTGACTTTGGACAACCCACTATGGCTGCCACATACGGGGGCTGATACCATTGATAACGTAACAAGTATAGTTAGCGGGTTTCACAACACAAGGGTTGGGTTGTTGATTGTTCAATCCACCAACCGTGCGAGATCCCCCGTCGAGATACAGGCGATTGTGCTCATAAATTCTTTACGGAAAAACTGGGTCATACATAAAGTGTCATGCACACAACGTGATATGAATTCATTAGAACCACGCATGAAGTTGTCAGTGTATCCCAAGGCTTACATAAGCCAGACACTCCTCCATAAATTAGTTATATAACTATTCTCACATAACTAGTTGCGTAATATATAGAATATCACAATTGTGTTTATACGTGATGGGTGTCTCTAAGGTCTCCCTACTGTTGTTGGTGGTTAGACTGCTGAGGTGACCAAGAGTTGGTGGTTCATACGGATGGGTAGATACATGGATGGATTGGTTAGAGGGACGCAGAGTTGGTGATCCATACGGATGGTAGATACATGGGTGGATTTGTTAGTGGGAAGCAGAGATGGTGATCCATACGGATGGGTAGATGCATGGATGGATTGGTTAGTGGGAAGCAGAGTTGGTGGTCCATACGAATGGTAGATACATGGATAGATTGGTTAGTAGGAATCTGAGTTCGTGGTCCATACGTATGGGTAGATGCATGGATGGATTGGTTAGATGGAAGCAGAGTTGGTGGTCCATACGGATGGTAGATACATGGATAGATTGGTTAGAGGGAAGCAGAGTTGGTGATCCATACGGATGGGTAGATGCATGGATGGAGTGGTTAGTGGGAATCAGGGTGGATGGGCGTATTTCTGGGTGTCATGTGACGGGCAGCCTTGCCTGTTGGTCATGGGAGGCGAATTGATAGGCACTCCTACCTCAGTAGTAAGGGGGATACAAACTGCAAGACATCGGACACAGCTTTACAGCAGTAAGACTTGAGGAGGGCCGGGTAGAAAGTCTTGAACAGGACGCGGGACAGTGAGGGTCCGGTGTGTTGACCCCCGTTCGGCACGTGCTGCTTGTTGTTCTGGTCCTCGGGGGAAAGTAACCGGCATCGCTCCTCAGAACCGGAGCTGAACGGGAAGGTCGATGAACGTGATCTGTACAAGGATGACGCACTTAATCTGGAACAAAATAAATATAAGTTTACAATTAAACTTTTTTATTCGAAATCCACATGGGTTTGTTTGTTTGTTTGTTTCGGAAGCAAAACATTTAACGCGGGAAAGGATAGCACGTTATAACGGACATTAGCGTTGACGTCATCAGCGCAAGGTTGTCATAGGCCGTGAGCGTTATTTCACTTCCATTGTGGACCCCAGCCAGGGAGAACGGGCCCCTACAAAATTTATTCCATATTGAAATTGGGAAATTGATAATGGGATCTGTTCATGAATGTTTGCCTGTCTCATACTCATTATATCACGCTGGTTGGAAAACCGAAAACTCCCACTCCTACTCATCCATGAAGAATGTGGAACTGTGTTGAATCTGCAAGAACTTACCTCTGTTGCTCCTTTTTCCAGACAGCCTCGAACTGGGGCAGCACGCGGTGACACTGGTCACGTGGGTGCAAGTCCCATAGGTCACTCGCATCTAGCGGCTTCCTGAATCCCAGCAATATCAGTCTGCAAGCAGTCGTAGAGAGGTACTGTACGAGTATGTGGGTGTATATAGGTCTCCAAATACACCTAGATATTGGCAAGCTGGACAGAGATATGTTTGTTTAAAAGTTGCAAAGTTGTAAAGTACGAGTCACCTCAACAAAGGCATTGAATTTATTTACATGAAATGTAAAACTTGTAATTTCACTTTTTGGAATTTTTGCTGCAGACTTTGGTTGATTTTTTGTACGGTCTGTAAATAATCGAGTCTGGACCAGACAATCCAGTGATCAACATCATGAGCATCGATCTAGGTAATTGGGATACGTAGTCGGCGAGCCATTCGTGACCAACTAGTGTTATTCCGGGACAAGCCGAATAGCTTCTTGGAGGTTACGGAAAGGAGCGAGTGTTGACGAATGTCGGCGAGTCTGACCACCCGATTCCGTTAGTCGCCTCTTACAAGCATGGGTTTATGAAGACCAACTATAATCCGCATCCTCATGGGTTTACAGCACTGGGGTCTATAGGATCTAGTCAGGGTCAGGAGGAACCAGTGGTTGATGGTACTTGCCATGGTACTTGCTTCAACGAAAACACCATGGCAGTAGAGAATGTATGTGAGCTGGGTTCTTGGTATGCCCTTCAGGGATTAGCGTAAGATATTATTGAGAGAGATGAGTTTAACTCGGCTGGTATAGGCAGTAGCAAATGGTGGACCTTACTACTTCGGGAAAAGGGTAAGCAGGGTTATGATGTTGTGACATCAAGAACCATAATCGGTTCGTTAATAGGATTTGAACACACTGCCAGAAAATCTCTTCAGGCTGTATGGATTATCTATGTGCACTTCAATTGCTACGAACCCAGGCTAGCAGGCTACAAAACAATCCACTCACCTATCACACACCCCCTCCCCTTACCCCACCCCTACACACACATTAACATACATCTACCTTAAGTTACAGGCTCCCCGAGCTCCAACTAGTTCATAGATGTACACTCGCCATATAGCTGGAATATTGCTGAGTGCAGCGAAAACTTAACTCACTCCTATATGTACACACAAGCGTCACTACCAAAAGGCCACATATATATAGTCAGACCAAGACTTCTGTCGCCAGACATATCACAGGCCTACGACCCTCGATCCCATCTATATATCCATATATGTACCTTTAGCCCGGCCGAGGCTGAGCACACTACAAAAACACTGTCGCCTCTTACCACAAGCATGGGTTACTGAAGGTTCATTCTAACCCGGACCTTCACGGGTAGGTAGTAGCAGAAGTAGTAGTAGTAGTAGTAGTAGTAGTAGTAGTAGTAGTAGTAGTAGTACAAGTAGTAGTAAAAGAAGAGTGAGTGAGTGTGAATGAGTGGGTTTAGCTTTACACTGCACTTGACCAGACAATCCAGTGATCAACAGCATGAGCATCTATCTGCACAATTGGGAACCGATGACATGTGTCAACCAAGTCAGCGAGTCTGACCACCCGATCCCGTTAGTCGCCTCTTACGACAAGCATGGGTTACTGAAGGTTCATTCTAACCCGGGCCTTGACGGGTTAATAAAAGAAGCAAGAGAAGTAGTAGTAGTAGTAGTAGTAGTAGTAGTAGTAGTAGTAGTAGTAGTAGTAGTAGTAGTAGTAGTAGTAGCAGTAGCAGTAGTAGTAGTAGTAGTAGTAGTAGTAGTAGTAGTAGTAGTAGTAGTAGTAGTAGTAGTTGTTGTTGTAGTTGTTGTTATTGCTGTTACCATCACCAGTAGTGGGTAACATCTCTGATGATTTAGGATCAGATTATGTTGTGAACGATGATAGACTATTACTGTTCTGTTCACGCTGATTCTGTTGTACTCACTTCGTCATCCACCAGAACAGGATACGGGAGGTGAATGACGCCTTCACTTCCGGACACTGAGGCTGAAACAGAACATACTGCAGGTTATACAGACACGCACGCATGCACACATCCCCAGTTTTCAAATCCGACAGCTCTCATCCCAACCATCAAATTCTACATTGTTAATGTACCACCGAACACCTCTCATCTGCATCTTCAGCTTGTACAAGTTATTTATAATTTATAAAAGTCCGAACCCCAGTCACTAATCGATAATAGTGCGTTATAGGTGCTCAAGGACATGACCCATGGTGACATCGGCCAGTGTGCCCTGACCAGGGTGGCAGTCCGGCTCAAGCTCACCGGCTCATAGTCGCAATCGTGGAAGCTGTGGGTCGTCTCGGCGAAACAGTGAAGTATCAGCTGTAGGAGGATGAGGAGATACTGCAGGATGAAGGCGTAGAACCGGATCGGCTGGCTAGTGTACACCTGTAACAGACACATGCAGCCTCGTCACTACACCTCCCTCAGGAACCCGTTTGTCAGGAAACCCTTCTTGTTCGTCTCTCCACGTCTACTCCGGTTCCAGCAACATTCAAGCAATATTCCAGTAATACTGCAGCTATATGATGGCGATCTGTACATATCCTGGACCACGGATCACAGATAAAGGGTCACTAGCAGGTTGAATATGGGATTCAAACCATTGATATGCGGATCCGATAACGACTTATTGGGTTGTAGAGGACAGTGACAGGGAGAAAATTAAGACAATAGTAAACAGTCATAGAATGATCAGTCTCGAGTTTCTGCAGAAACAAATGATATCGGGTGAGAAAGAAAATTACATTAGTGGACACAAGCACAAGAAAGAATAAGCATGTTCCTTCCTACTTGAACACTCTCTACTCACACAATTTACAGACAACGCTGACATGTAAACAATCGAGTATGGGCCAGACAAACAAGTGATACCAAGTCAGGTCCAGAAAAACATCTCACAACATGTCTGGACCAGACAATCTAATGACAACCAATCTGGTCCAGACAATCCAGTGACAGTGCGCCTGGAGCAGACAATCCAGTGATAACAAGTTTTGTCCAGACAACCTCGTGATTGCAATGCTTGGCCAGACAATCCAGTGATAACGTGTCTGGAGCAGACAGTGACGTACCTCCTGTATGAAGTAGGAGTAGACGGGGATGATGTCGGCCACGCTCAGCTGCAGCCAGAACAGGAAGAGGATGCTGGAGGTTGTGACGCCATGGGTTGTGCAGACGAGGGACAACATGGCCGCCAGCAACTGAAACACAGTGTCCATAGTTTCACATCACAAAGATGCTTCTTGAAAAATAACAGTCGTATCGCCTGAAATCTGGAAGAAACGTCAGGAAGAGGTATGACCACAAGCGTGCGTGATATGAGCTGCACAGAAGTAATGAAATACAGGGCCCACTTGCACAAAGCGATCCTAGCGCTGCGACTATCTTAGGCCTATGTTAGAGAATGGTAGTTACAATCATCGTAGCGCTAAGATCGCTTTGTGCAAGTGGGCCCAGATCGGTCCCGTGATCTGCTATGTTGCTGCCTCTGGTGATTCAATGGCTATATGCGCGTTACTGTATCACAATAGAAGGGTTTCGATGAAAGTAGGAACCATATGTTTATGGGGACCGTTTTTACAGGATATCCATCATAACCAGTGACTAGGTTGTTTCCTTGTTAAATATGTTTCTTCAAAATTTCAATTAACATATTTCTTTGAAAATACGCTTAGGTAAGCCAGGCTCCCCATTCTTCCAAAGGGTATTCATGCTTGATCCAGAACATATCGTCAACAAATATTCAGTGAGTGCGTGATTTGGTTTTAATGCCAGCATTATCACGGCGGGGGGCACCAATATTGGGCTTCACACATTGTACCCATGTAGGGAATCGTACTGGGTCTTTGGCGTGACGAGCGAACGCTTTAACCTCTAGGCTACCCCACCGCTGTCCACAGCTTTGGTGCCTCGTGTGATGTATAGTCAATATAGTATTTTCAATACAACTAGTATTAGTTTGGCAGCCATAATTGTAAAATTACCCAGATTACAGAGTGTCATCATGCAGTTTAAAATCAAAACCTACAAAACAGGACTACCCGCTAATTTTTTTTATCTTCTTTGCCGTATTATATAACATCGACAATAGTGATTCGTGACGTCATTAGTTTATAACGCTAAATGATATATGGCCATTCTCCACATGGGTACAATGTGTGAAGCCCATTTCCGGTGTCCCCCGCCGTGATATTGCTGGAATATTGCTAAAAGCGGCGTAAACCCTTACTAAACGATATATGGTGTAACAACAATGCTTGTGAAGTGGACAATGGACTCACGTATGTGACGGCCTCGAGTGACCGTGCTAGGTAGAACATGACGGTGTAGGGGGGTGTGTGGACGTCAGACCCCGTGGCAGCAAACACTTTGACCACCTCGAACCCCACCAGCACCAGACACAGGCTCTAGATCATTGAATGAGTACAACAGTTAGGCTTACAACGATTTAAACACCACTGCTACATCAGCACATAACAAAGGCATCCTTAGGCAATTTAACTGCGTGGAGTGGGGAACACTGAGGAAGTAGGTGTTAGTGTTTGATTATATTAGAGATTGCTTCTTAATGTCACAGACAGCAATACTACAGCTCCTGCTGTGTCATGACGCCCTATGACCCAATGTGACGTTGCCATATCTTCCAAATCCGTTCTGGTTTCATTTTCGATCTAGAGTTTTGTATGGTGAAACGATCCTTTAGGAAAGTAAGTAAGAATTTGTATCGTGAATTTTACGCGATGTTCTTATTTGTAGCCAATCGGTGATGCAGTAGTTAGTCTTACACTGGCCCACTTGTTAAACAGGGCAAACAGAAACCCCAGCAGCGCTGTACACACAGTGATTTACACAATGCATGGATTCCGGGATCTGGTTGCCGTATTCTGAGGACATGTTTCCTTTGATACTGACAAACATTATGAATAACAAGTTCTTTGATTTCGTGAGTGCTAAGTTTCGATACAGATTCTTGTACCGTTGTCAATCAGGAATGTAAGATGAAGTGAAGGGGTGTATGTAGTTTGTTAATATTGTACCTCCAAACTTAGATAAAATGTCTCATGGGGATGGGGGAAGGGAGTGGGAAGGGGGGTATGATTGTGCTGAGTGAGGTACAACAATTTATTCACTCTAAAACATTCAGTCCAATGCTGTCCAATGCTGTCTCTCCTTGACGTTCTATCGGAACGCTAGAGGAGGCTCCTGGACTTACAGGTTTTGCCACACTAAGACTTGACGTCGGTAGAGGCAGCCCCGGAGCAAACTTGAGCAGATAGACGAGGTAAGGCAGAAGGGTGATCCACAGCCAGCCGCAGGGGACAAACACCAGCACCGTGTCCTGGAAACAGGAAGTGAACTCGGGCCATGTGTTCTCCCACAGCAACGTCTCGTTCTGGAACAAGAAAGGAAACAAGTCTTCTTCAAGCAGCGACAAAAGAATTGGTCACATATAGGCTCACCCACCAGCCTGCTGTGCCCACACATAACAGGGCAAGCGTTAAATTTAGCTTCCCCAATACACGGGTTTCTGATGTCCTAGTGCCAAATGACAATGCTGTAAGTGTAGGGGTGCGCACCCCCCTCTCCCCGAAAAATGTCCTGAGGAGCATTTTCCCCTAACCTTTGGACTTTGTGATTTATGTGCACGCGCGCACGCACACACACCTTCTCCCAAACCCATGATCCGACCCTGTACACCACTAACATCCTCAGTCGACTGTGTTTAATTGTAATGACGTAAGATTCAACAAATCATGTGTTCAAGATATCCCACACTGTAAAAGATAGCTGATGCGTTATAGCAACAAGTATACTATGTTTGTTGCTTGTAGATCACAGACAAAACACCTTTCAAGATATTGTGCTGTTGTTCTTGTAAATAATCCAAAAAACAGAACTGTTGTTTGTACATCAGTTTAGAGCGCTATACACGGTGTAGGTAAAATACTGGAAATGTCGGATGGACATTCCAGTTAACGTTGACGTGACATGGTACAACTGTGTACTATACGAGGCGATATTAAGCTCAGTGTTACTTGTAACATGAGAACCATGAGATCACCTACCCATAATGGTGACCCGCCGCATAGTTCCATTGGATCGGAGAGCTGAAACAGAACCGTGTTTATCAATCATCTAACAACATTTCAGTCTTATGATTGGAGTGTATTTTGTTTCTATAACTCTTCACCACTTTTTTCTTATAGATAGATACATAGTGTACAATCTCCATAATTAAAGATAGCCTCAAATACACCTTACGTCACTCATCGCAGTTCCCACTGATATAAAGAGGTTGTTCATCCTTATAATGTTATCTTTCCCTTCACCAGGTAATATCTGGTGAGGTGAGGTGAGGTGAAATTGGGTTTAACGTCGTGCTTGAGAATATTTCGCTCATATGACGACGTGCATGCGTGTGTATGTGTATGTGCGGCTGCTTGTACTAGCCCAGACTTAAGCTAGTTTTATAGTGCTAGCCCACTGAGATACCACGCCGCAGTGAAGCATGAATACCCCACTCAGACACATTATACTGACTCCGAGCCGACCAGTCCTTGTTGTACCCATTAATGCCGAACGCCAGGCAGGGACCAACAAGTACCATAGTTTAACGTCTTTTGGTATGGCGCGGTCGGGGATCGAACCCGCGACCTTCCGCTCTCCGGGCGGACGCTCTAACCACTACACCACGGAGGCGGTCTGGTAATATCTAGGCACAATTCCGTGATGGATATTCCAACTCATCAACCTTCATCAGGATCCCTGTGGTTGATCCAAGGATCCATTGTTTCAAATACTCTTTGATGTTGCCTTGGTAAAGAAGCATCCTGTATAGTGGACACCCGCTTATCTGGATCCCAGCTGTCCGGAAACCACGCTTGCATTTTACGTTTTACATTCACATTTACATTTTACAATACCCTTCTCACTCAGTATCATTACGTCCGCTAGGTGACCACATCAGCAGTTTCAATATGTTGGACTAACAAACTGCCCCCAAATAAGTTGAACATTAGGTTATATAGAAAGATCCTCTAAGGTGAAGATTATGAGAGAGAATTTATAATGGAACGAGAAAGAAATTGGACGGATTGTTTAATAAAACAAATAAAAGACTGAATGTTACTGGTTCAATGGATGGGTGTAAGTGTTATGCTCAGAACAAAGTACTATTCCACATTATGTAATAATCGTAAACAAGTGGTTTTTGTTTTGTAAAAACGATACTTTTCATAAACTTAACAATCCTTCAGAAACATCATACATTGTTTTACTCTGACATCTATCAGACATAAAGTAGTTATACACAACGGTTTTTTATCGTAGCACTGAAATATTTATATCATTTCATTTTGAACATCCATTAATGGTCATCCTGGTGACCTTGACCCTCACGAATACACGTCAACTGGAGAGTTCTCAGGCGTTCTGCTATTGACCTACAAGGAAATGTGTTTTGTGTTCAAAGGATAGGTACTAGTTACAGACTACATTAACCAAGAGACATTAGCTTTTGTGTTTAGTTTTAGTTTTACGCCGCACCGAGCAATATTCCAGCTCTATGCTGGTGTGTTGAAGGTTGTATATTTGATACATATTAAATCTGAAACAGCAACGATACAGGGTTTGGTGCATTGGACTTGCATTAAGATACTGGTAGACTAGTAGCCTAGGTAATGTTGATCATACGCTATATGTGATAAAAATTCTGTTGAAGATGAAATTCACCTTACTGAACATCATTGAAAACGCAGCAGTCTCAAATTGTCCATATTTTCACCAAGATGGATTTCAGCATGACAATGATTAATGAATATAACTAACATGAAGTCGAAGGGCATGTCCAGCTGGAAATATGCTTTAGAAACAAATTCCTGTCCACAGTATGACTCTTAATTCCAAAATGCATCAACATGCAGCCACGCCATGAAAAAGCGCGAATTTCATTCTGAAATCATACTGACTGTGACATTAAAAGCAGGTGTATGAGAACCGATTCTCATTGCTTCACTAACGATTGTAAAACGAGGACAGAGATGCCGAGGTTAACACCTCACGAAAGAGAACGTGCACTAGGCATGATTCAGGTTGGCACCAGCAGCAGGGATATTGCTCGACAACTTGGACTTGGCCACTCCACCATCGTTAGGCTTCACAGACGACATCAGTAGACAGGCAGCACCCGTGACCTCCAATGACCTTGGCAACAACGTGTTACGACGCTCCATCAGGATCGCCATATTGACCTTGTCCATATCAGTGATTGAACACTGTCGACTGCCAAGACTGCTGCACTAGTTCAAGGTTGACGTGGGGGTCATCAGCGCTGACTCCATGCGACGCCGTCTACACGCTACAGGGCTCCATGCTCGACGTCCTTACGTTGGACCAATTCTGACTGACAGACACCGTAATGAGCGTATACAATGGGCTAGCAGACATTTTCAGTAAAGATTACAACAATGGCATGGTGTGGTAGTCACTGACGAGTCACGTCTTCATCTACGTAATGCTGACGGCCGATTACGTGTTTGGCGTAGACGTGGTGAACGTTATGCTGATGAGTGTGTGGTTCAGACAGACCTTTGGGTGGTGGGAGTGTCGTGGTCTGGGGTGGAATAAATTACAATCACAGGACTGCCTTCATGTCTGTCAAGGGAGAGTTAATGTCCTTTATTACCGTGAGCAGATTCTTCAGAATCACATCGTATCTGTGTTCAATGACCACCAAGATATCCATACTTTTCAACAGGACAACGCACGGGCACACACAACAAGACTTTCCATGTAGTATCTGGCCCAGCAACACATCCAGGTTATTCATTGGCCAGCACAGTCGCCAGATGTATCCCCATGGAGCACTTGTGGGACGCAATTGGTCAAAGTCTTTCTCGGCGACAACAGATGCGAAACATCCGGGAAATTGAGGCTGCACTACTGCAGAAGTAGAATGCCATCCTCAAGAACTCTATTCGGACGCTTATTGACTCAATGAGGAGACGTTGAACTGCATGATGTCAATGCAAATGGCGGTCACATGCGATATTGACTTTTCGATTTGACCCCACGTGTGTTTGATCCTTTCTGACTGTGGAACATTTCAATGAATGAGCGTCTTTTCTGTGTTGTTGTTTTTGTCAGTCGTCCATCTGTTATTACCCACTCAAAAAATATCAATTCCTTACACGTGCTTTTAATAATCTGAACTTTTATAAGTGGTGCGTTTTTAATGATGTTCAGTATATAAATGTCCAGTCTATTATTATTACTTGCTCCCTGTCCTCGAGAACAGAATAATGGCTGACTTGATTGAACAGTTCAAGTATTTGGATCTTGATGTTGAATGTCTGTTATGCAAGTCGTTATCAGCTTAGCGTGGTTAGATACCCCCTCCTCGACCATATACTGTAACCTTCTATATACCTCCCACTGTAACCCTCTCCCTTCCTTGCACCCCTCCTTTAACCCTCTCAAGACGCTTGGTGTTTCAAGTCAGAAGGATATGTATCCTATAAAATATAACAAATCTCATTTATAATACTTTGTGTCGTTAAAACAATAGATGTATGTGATATTATGCAAACATACTTTGTGAACATAAAGTGGTGGTTTTGTGAAGCTATGGCTATAATAAGTTAATGTTTTGTTAGTACAGCACAACAAACACCACCCAGATAACCTGTACATACTATCCATGTTGATGTGACGATGTACACGCTGTGGCGTAAAACACATCCTCATTGTTCCCATTGATATGTGTCTACTTGCTGTTTTATGATACTTTTTATTAACCTCGTATTGCAATAGAAACGACAAACCCTTTCAAAATCTGCTACAAGCAGAGTCGATTGTACAATTGTGACTATATCATAAGTAAGTGCTTGTTGGGTGTCGCCTTCAGCAGCATACAGCTATACAACGCGGTCTGTGAAGAATTGAGTCTGGACCAGACAATCCAGTGATTGTCACCATGCGATACGATGACAGAACATGTGTTCCTTAATCACGATCAAATAATGATGACACCAGGTGTTCGCGAATAGGTGAGTGTATCCTGCCCCACCGGTGGCACCCGTCATAAACAGATGCAAAGTCTAGTCAATTGTTCACCTGAAAATTGGGAAACGCATGGTCAAAATAGGCAACTGAAGCATCAAATTTCGTCATGTCCCCCACACTTTGAAAACTTCACTAAGGCCTTGAATGTTGTAACTTTGATCAACTTCTGACCAAGCGTGGTATGACGCTCTTTGAAATATTGGTAAAAAGCTCGATTGTACCCCAAAGGATTTAAATGTAAACTCCAAAGTCTGGAGGTTTTGGAATATTGCTCGACATGAAGGAATGTTGACATCCTCTTGCCATACAACCTCGAGAAGAGTTTTTTGTTACTCTGTGTCTTTGTGTATGGATCTAAAAATGAAACACTTGTCTCCTTAATTTCAAGTCCAGGTGAGTAAATCAATTGAAGGGAATTGGCTATTTGATGGTTGTTGAACGATATTATATCATCGATGTACCGGAAGCGTAAGTTAAACTTCTTGGCCAAATTACCTTGTTTTGATTTTGCCAACCCGAGCAGAACTTCTGATTCTTATGCAGAATATAGGTCATATTTCTAGATGTAAGGTTGTCATCAGCCTTAGTTGTACAATAACGTTACGACCGTTCACTACCTAGTTCAGGCGGTGGGGTAGCCTAGTGGTTAAAGCGTTTGCTCGTCACGCCGAAGGCCGAGGTTCGATTCCCTAAATGGGTACAATGTGTGAAGCCCATTTCTGGTGTCCCCGCCGTGATATTGCTGGAATATTGCTAAAAGCGGCGTAAAACCATACTCACTCACTCACTCACTCACTACCTAGTTCAAGATGATTGTGTCTAAAGTGACATACAGTTTCCACCTAACTCTTACAGATTTTACTATTATTTACATTTAGCATTAACATCTTCAGTGCTGTTGTACAAGCAATGTAGAGAGAGGAATCTAAACGTGATCGAGATGTTTCAGAGTGAGTGAGTGAAAATGATTGAGCAACTTTAGTTTTTAGCAATATTCCAGCAATATTACAACGGGGGACACCAGAAATGGGCTTCACACATTGTA